TTTGTAAGAAGTGTTGACAAGCGGAATTCACTGAGGTGTCTGTTTAAACTACTAGCACACAGCTCGGACACCCATGCATACCCCTGAAGACATGCCACCAAAGGTCTCTTCACGATCCCCAAATTAAGAACAGACTATGGGAGGCGCACTGTACTGCACAGAACCATAGCTACATGGAACTCTTTTCCACATCAGGTACTGATGCAAGCAGTAGAATCAGATTTAGAAAACAGATAGAAATACACCTTATGGAACAGCGGGGACTGTGAAGACACACACAGGCACACATACACATGATAAGACACACACTTTACACACACGTACACATGGATTTTATATTGTAGATATGTGACAGTAAAGTAGTGGCCTGAGGGAGCACACTTAATGTGTTGTGAAAAGTGTTATAAATGTAATGTCATATTATAATTGTATATAACAGCCTTAATATTGCTGGACCCCAGGAAGAGTATCTGCTGCCTTGGCAGCAGCTAATGGGTATCCTTAATAAATACAAATAGAAAGAATAATAACCACAGCACAAAGAAAAAGAACAAGCAAATAACTGTTTTAAATTGCATTTATTTAGGTTTCTCCATACAATACATTACTGTACAACGGCACATATTTCTGAAATAACTCTCATTATAAAATAGGGCTTCTACAATCAAGGTACAGTCATAAAATGCTTTCAGGGACAAAAGACGACAACAGCAACAGTAGAACACCTTCATATAAAGCGCAGGAGATTCAGGAAGTGATTTGTTGTCCACAAAGCAGAGATTCAGACCACTCATTTCAGAGTACCTTGCATCCTGCCTAAGACCCGTTTTCTCTTGGTTCTGAACTGAGGAGGTCTAACTGTTGAAAACAAAATATGACCCAACTTGTGCAAAATTCAAGCCAAAACCTTGATTTAGGACTGCAAATCAAATTTGGAGAAGCAGCACAAATGTTCTGTACAATCAGAAACTAATATCATAATATCATTGTGTTATTACGTGTTTTTTTTCTGGACATGGTCGAAGGTGGGAACAATCACCAATACACACACGAAAGTGGATACCGTCGAAGCCACAAGTAAATTAGCTTATCATTAACACAGTCAACATCAGTAATGATTGTTCAAAATACCATTAGAGTGGATCTGCAGTCAAGCTGACATAAAGCTATGTGGATCTAAGCGTGTGTGTGTGGGCCAATAGTGGGCCTGTGTCATTTGAAATAAATTACATAGACCTACCAGCTTCAGTGTTAGTTCACTAGTGTTTCAGGTGTGGAATATACATGACATTTGACGTCCAAGCTGTGTATGAGGGAGTATGTGTATAACAAATGAAAAGAGAAAAGATACAACCTGCCATTATATGAAGTGAGAAGCCGTTGTCCTTCTTAACAGACATTCAAAGTAGAGAAAGAGAAGATTTGTCTCAAGTCTTGAGGTAAGCAATGTGTTTCAATAGAATGCCCTACTGACAATCATATAGTTACAATCATCTTTTGTACAAACTTCCTGATTCACACACTGAACTGGAACAAGCCCCTCTGCTAAAATAGAACAAAAAACAACAACTTTATGTGTATCTTCACGATCTGAAATGCAGGTTCAGTTATATGACTGATTTTAGGCCATTATTTCAGATTAAAGAGGGGTGGTGAGATTATGGCTACAAAGAGATATTGAGTAGAGCCCTGTTCCTTTAAGGTGGGTTGAAAACACAACACAGACAAAGCATAATATTCAGTCACCTAGCAACACTCACACTGTACACACCTCCAACATTCTATAAGAGTGCAAATTTTGCTGATCAACAAAAACACATACGCTTGGCAAAATAAAGAGCACAAATTCCTTTTTGTTTTTTAAATAGGGGGTATATGTGGAGAGTAATGTGCTTGGAAATAACCCAATAAAACAAGGTAGGCTATGTATAGGAGCTGATAATGTCCACGTTTATAGATGTTTATATCATGTGTATAGATGTGTATACTTTAGAATGAGTTGAATGGGTTTGTGTTGCCTCAAAAGAGATAACCCCTGACACAGTGATACATCCAACCTTATGGGCTGCCCTTAGAGGGCAACATGACATCCTCTGGGCGGGGCACACACAATAGAACCATCTGGAACACAAGCAGCATCCTACTCACAGAATGACATCACTGTAATTCTACAGTATGGTTCAAATGACCCCCTCCTGCTTGTTCTGCTTTCACCGCAGAAGACAAAGATCATATTTAAGAACAGGCTACCGAAGATCTACAAGTACCTCCAAAACATTCATCCACTGAGTAGCTCCACTAATGAGATGTGTGTGTCTCCGGGGGGGGGGGGGGGGGGTGAATGTACTATAGTAACAGCTTGCACACTCACCGACACTAAAGACTGTAAATGAGACATGACCAAGAGCAACAAGTTCTACAAGGAAGGTAAAACAACAAGGATGCTATCAGATGCTACAGTACTAGTGCTACCTGAACATGCTACTGATTGAGACTGCAGAGCTACGCTCCCCTGCCATACTGTACCATTCCCCACAGACACACGCACGCAAACACATACGCACGCGCACACCCACCCTGAAATGAGGAAGGATTTCCCTCATCATACAACACTATTATTACTGATTATCCATGACAGAGTTGGGATTGCATACGGTACACCTTCTTAGAGAGACACCCTTCACTGTTATCATCACTATAAGCTTATCATTTAAAAGAAATAAATTCACCCAAATCACAAATGTTCCTCATCATAACAATACCACGTTGTCTATGGACACCCTAAGCTTTAGCTCATTCTAGATATCCATGAGATGAGTTAAATGTGTAATTTGTGTGCACTATCCATTTAGTCAGATAACCCACACACAATTGGCTTTTATCTTGCACTGGTCAAACAACTCCAGTTGGATGCTCTATAACGGAATGTATGTAGAAAGCTTCCAGCAGACTTCTTTCACTAGTCAGACATAACCCACCCCACCAACATACTCTGCTACTCCATGGCTCGTCAGCTGTTGGCTTGACTGACCTGTCTAAATGCTCATCTCAAATGAAACCCTTTTTATTATATCATTCACTACTTTTGACCAGAGCAACACAGGACATATGATCAAAAGTATAACTTTATATAGGGACTACTAGGGTATCATTTGAGACAAAGGCTAAAGCCCAGTTCAGATACAACAGCCGACATGAGACGAGATAAAAACGAGCTAATTTTAGAATGTTGTACAACAGCTGACTAAAGAAGGGGCAATCAGATCAAGACGAGAAGTGCAGTTGAGACCGTTTCCACAGTAACGGTGCCTCTTTACAATTACGGGATGAAACTTTGAAACGAAGTTGCCACTTGTTGTAGCAAACGAGTGTCATGAAATACAAGCACCAGAAACAGTGTACATTTTGTGACTTGTCAGATAAATACTGTATCAGCAAGCAAGGCTAGCTATGTGCAGCAAAATAGCTAGCTAATTGTCTGCTTGGCTAGCTAGCTGCTTGGCTGAACACAGAACGTTAGCACACGTTTCTCTGATTGGCTATAATGGATCAGTCTCGTCGAAAGAGTTTAGCTAAAGATTTGACATGTTGAATCTTGGAAACTCCAGCCAACGACATGAGACGTTCTAAAACTACTCCGTTCATATCAAACAAACTTAGTTTTAAAACCCCTTAAAGGTAGGCTCAGCATTATGATGCAGAAAGTAAACAGTATAGTGGGTAAATTTCCGCAACAACTTGAAGCATGAGGGTCAACTTCTCCGCTGTTTTGGTCCTGTGGCTACCACGCGCCAAGAGCCTGAAGCAAACCCGTGCGCATGCGCAGATACTGTGTGCGGCTGTGAGAGAGCTTAGTCTTGCATCTCAATATCTGCGTTGCTGCTCGTGGCAATGTCATTTCGCAGAGTTTACCTTAAAGACAGTTGCGTTGCGTCGCGTCTCATATTATGTATCTGAACTGGGCTTAACAATTCTAATCCTCATCCTGAGTTTCTTAGCAGAAGAAGTTCCTTTCACTTTTATAAATATCATCAATTGCTATATCCATATAATATCATTTTCATATACAGTATAATTTCATCTATTTTCATGACAGATATCCCTTTGGAAAGGACTAAAATAGTTTTTAAATTATTACAAAATATATCCCCCATACAATAGGGGGGCTCTGGGCCTATTCAACCTGCACTGGGAGATGGAGACAATAACCATCCGAGCCCACAGACCCACCACACACAATAGCCTGACTACACACACAAACACATTGCTCACTGTTCCAACTCCCTATAAGCCAACACACACCTTTACCTTCATACCCAGCACACACACACACAAAAACACACCCAGGCTTGGTTTTGCTGACAGTAGAAAACAGACATACACACTATGGCTTTCCAGAACTCTACTGGGGCCGTATAGACAGATCAGTGCCCTGGGGTTTGGCAGCTACTGATTTGGCCTCAATAAACCAAGGGTGGGCAGTCTTACTCTGCAGGCTTTGGCTCCAGCCAAGCTATAACACACCTGATTCGACTTTTCGAAGCCTTGATTAAAGACTATGATTGGATGATTAGTAGAAGAATCAGGTGCGTTACTGCTTGGCTGGAGCAAAAGCCTGCACTGACAGTCCTTGTTTGGTAAAATTGCCTGTCCCTGCACTAGACCCAGAGAAAACGCTAATACTTTCTCTTTAATGACATCTTCTATTCATCCATCAGTCCCATGTCTGTGATTTAGTGTTAACTGACCGCCACACCGTCATGTACTTCTGTTGGGAGAAAAGTGATCCCATACAAACTGATCTGAGAGCAGCTTTACAGCATCAATGGGTATGTACCACAAGTAGTGGGGTCAGGGCTTGGTGGGGTCCTCATTCTCTTTCTGTCTCTCACACACACACTAACACACACACTCTCTTTCCAGCTCAGACTAGTCTAGCCGTACTCACATACAGTCTCTCACTCTCAGTCTCTCTCTAGCTCTCCCTCTGTCCCAGAGTGTCAGATGAGCCTGGCCTCTCCCTCCATGTCTGGTGTCAGCTCACACACTCCAGTGAAGTGCATCTCCTTGCCCCTGGTTCCCTCAGACCTGGCCCCTCTCTCCCCCAGGTAGGGTGAGGGTTGCTGGGCCGTGGGGTCTGGGGAGGCCCGGGGGGCACCACCCGCCCTCCTCTCCCTCAGGAAGACGTCAAGCCGACGCAGCATCTGCTTGGGGTTCTTTTTGGCAAACAGTTCCACTTCTAGAGGGGAGCAGAGACACAGTGGATGTCAAGGATGTGATTGTGTTACAAAGGGATGTTGTTAATAATGACATGATACTCTGCTGAAACAACTGGGCTTGGTTAAGCCTGGGGTAAAAACCCAGAGAGTTACCTTTGAGGACAAAGCCAGAGTCAGAGATAGTCTTCTGCTGGCTCTTCCAAAGCTGGTAGAGGTGCAGGAACGTGGCAACATAAAACTCATTCAACACCCCCACTACCTGCTGCCGACGGTTACATTCCCTGGAGGACCACACACACAAAAGTGAGGACATCTTGTAAGCAAGTGACTAGGCTCTTGTAAGTAACTGTCAAGCCAATATGTCGGTCTGTCTCTCTGTCTGTCTGTCGTAGAGGAGTAGGGCCGGACACTTACTTGGAGAGGGACTCTTCTCTGAGTGCATGCAGGGCGATACGGGTCATGTTGATGGACATCACACAGAACGGGAAGTTCTGGAGAAAGATTGGGCAGAAAGAGTACAAACCAAATGTGGTTTGTAAATAGAAAGACTATTCAAGTAGCCAAGCACACATTTAATAGATTTCCCCACTTGCCTTCACCTGAACAGTTTGTGGCCAGTGTGTGTGTGTGTGTGTGTGTGTGTGTGTATGTACCTGTGTGGGGTGTTGGGACAGCTTGTAGATGTCTCTGGCTAGAGGCAGAGTCTCAGGGTCCATCACCAGGTACAGGGTGTGCATCAGCCCAAGGAAACCTGTACCACGCAGGTCTGTGGCTGGGTCCATACCTACACACAGACACACTCATAATTTCAGTGTTTTGTTAATTTCTTTATAGCAATATAATTTTATCACACTTTTCATCTCAGTGTGAGAGTGGCATCTAATGAAGCATAGATGCAGAAGATGTCTCTCACCCTGAAAGCCCACGTTCTCCCAGTGTGTGCCGAACCGAGGACAGTCCTGCTTGCTGCCTGTCAGCCTCTTATAGATGGTCTGTAGAACACGCATGTGTACAGCCTGACTGTTATCCAGAGAACCTACAGAGAGGAACACACAAACAATCTGCCTCTTATCGTCTGCAAAACGGCTCTCCCGCTCTCTCATTCAAACACACACACACTTACACTGTGCGATGGCGAAGACCAGGTCCCTCTCCTCCAGTAGTTCTCGGTGAAGTCGCGGCGGGCCGAACAGGAAGTGTGTGATAGCGGCCAGACCCGTCCTACGGATGGTGGGCTGGATGTTCTTCTACAGAGAGAGATAAGGGACAAAACGCAAACTGAATTGTTTTTCTCAATGATGAGAGTGAGACTCTACAATGCAGTCCTAAAACCCCCAGACACACAGAGACCCACATTCTTACCAGCACCTCGCCAAGGTCTGTGGTCTGGAAGTGCTGCAGCGCCTCATTAAAGGAGATGAGAGGAGTGGGACTGGACTCCTCAGTGACCACTGGAGACACACAGGACAATAACACACTTTAACAGACTCGTATATACAAACCTAGAATGAGGAGTAATACGTCACAGCTTTCAGGCAGCCAGGGAGTAGGTAGATGTTGCCCCTAACAACCCCTAACAACAACTCACCTGGTTGGATACTCTCTAGAGCCTCCCACTCCTCTCGTGCCTGCTCCACCTCCGCACTCTCTTCTGCAAACACAGACATACACACAGTTGAGAAACAAACCCATCAACACACACACACAGCTAACCTGCAACAACATACACAGGTGAGGAGTAATCGTTCAGCCATGGTGCCACCACCTCTCCAGTTCATTTTCAATCTGAACCACACCTTCTCCCCTTCTTTGCCATGACACCATAATTTCATACCCTGCCCCTCCTCATCTCCCCACCCTCCCACAGCCAGCTACCTCAGTCCCTGAGGGGGGGACCTGCTAAGGTTACCTGGTAGCTAGGATACATGGTTGTTCCTTTGGGAAGAGGGGCCACTGCGTGTAGTGTGTCTTACCTTCAGTCTTGGGTTGCTCTCCTCCTGCAGCCAGGGACCGCAGAAGGCCATTCTGCTTCAGAGCTGAAATCTAGACAAATCACAATAAAATACACTGAGTGTACAAAACATTAATGACACCTGCTCTTTCCATGACATAGACTCACCAGGTGAATGCAGGTGAATCCTGGTGAAAGCTACGATCCCTTATTGATCCCCTATGATCCCTTATTGACTTGTTAAATCCACTTAAAATCAGTGTAGATGAAGGGGAGGAGACAGGTTAAAGAAGGATTTTTAAGCCTTGAGACATGGAGGGTGAATGGGTAAGACAAAATATTTAAGTTCCTTTGAACGGGATATGGTAGTAGTTGCCAGGCGCACCAGTTTGTGTCAAGAACTGCAACGCTGCTGGGTTTTTCACTCTGAACAGTTTCCCGTGTGTATCAAGAATGGTCCACCACCCAAAGGACATCCAGCCAACTTGACACAACTGTGGGAAGCATTGGAGTCAACATGGGCCAGCATCCCTGTGGAATGCTTTAGACACCTTATAGAGTCCATGCCCCGACAAATTGAGTCTGTTCTGAGGGCAAAAGGGGGGGGGGGGGGGTGCAACTCAATATTAGGAAGGTGTTCCTAATGTTTGGTATACTCAGCGTATCTGTAAACACACCAAACACATAAAAAAAGAAAAGAGAACAACAGTCGGGTCGGTGCCCTTTCCTGTAATGCCTTTGACATGAGGGCCAGTATAGAGCAACTCACTGGCAGAGACTTGAGCAGTGAACTTCCGTTGGCGTGCTCTTTGACACTATGACCTGGTGTCAGTCCATTCATCACCTGGGAATACAGAAACACAACAGGTTACACAATGCAACATAGAACAGCAGGACCAACAAGCTACCAGTCCATACCGATGATAACACGAGAGGTATACAGAAATTCCTGCTAATAAAATCTATGAACGGGAACTCTGGTTGGTTGTTGTACTCACAGGTTTGTGGTTGGAGTGGCCATTGGTTAGCTCCTCTGTCTCTTTACATTCATGGAACACACCATTCAGACCCTGAGAGGAGGAGGGGGACAGAACGAGGCATCATCAGACACACACAAACACAGCCAGAGTGGCATGGAAGGGCAGGAACGTCTCTGTGGAATGAGACGCAGCTGAGGATCAAGTGGTTGTCCTCTCACCTGACCTGGAATGTATTCATTAGTCTGATTCCTTGCAAAATGTTTGGTCTGTTGCAAAATGTTTTGCGACTGAAAATTGTTTCTATTGGACAAATTCAGGTAGGTCCCTCACAGTTTCGTTCCGTTTGTGTCCATTTGGTTCCTATAGTAAACTGTAAATGGTTTCAGTTGCAAAACATTTTGCCACAGACCAAACGTTTTGCAACGGAATCAAACTAATGAATACACCCCTGGCAGGATGGTACAGTGCCAGGGCAGACACTGCAGGGAAAGAGAACTGTTAGGCTACATGGTGGTGAAAACCTTTTATTTCCCCATGTGAACACTTTAGAGGGGAAGATGCTTCATTACTTCCTCCTCCACTCACTAACACAATGGGGATTAAAAAAAGAAGGGAGAGATGGAAATTCAGCTAAGAACCACACATTTTAGGGTCAATAGTCAGAAAAACAATCTAATGGATGTGTGTACAGTACCATAAGGTTGTACCTTGAAGCAGATATATATGTTAGTGCAGCAAGTTTCATTGTGCAATCTGATTGAATACCACCACACCCACATTGTCTACACCTGTGATGGTATCACACAGACAGTATACAGGTAACGTGTACAGAACAGACCATAAGGTCAAAATGTTGATTTGGAACTTGACTGATGTCTGTTGACTGATACTGTTCCATTTCATTGTAGATGTTATAGCGGGTGTAGCGAAATGCTACATGCTGATGCGACTGTCAATCACATAGTTTCCACACAGTTTAAACTACTTTAAAAGGTTAGGCTATTCAATGTTAAAACACCTACCTCTGTGTGTGATGTGACACCGCTGTCCTCTTCCATGGCATGAGTGTGTGTGTCTATGTATGTGTGAGTGTGTAATCCCTGTTCTTTAAAGCTTAATTTATCAGACTGAGGCGGTCAGAAGTGCTTTTGGGAAGACCCCCATGTTGTCTGTTGTGTCCCTTTCCACAACTACTGCTTGTCAAACTTCCCCTTCCTTCCTTCCTTCCTTCCTCTCTCTCGGTCCAGACTAGAGTCAACAGGTTGATCTCACTGAATTCAGTTGTTGTGCATCCTGCCCCATTAGAGGGGCTGCAGGGCTGGGTAAGGACACTGCTGGTCTGGGATGGCCTCTCTCTTTCCCAGCCGCTTCATTGCTTTGACACTCAATGTTGGCACCTCACATCCACGATGTAACAATGTTCAAGCCCAGGTGGGGCGAGTCGAAGTCTTGCAGAGTTGGAGTGGGCCTTCTCCTTGACAGGATCCAACCAATAGGGGGCACTCATGCCATGCTATGTCAAACTGGTTGTCATGGATATCTGCAATTTGGGGCAGAAAAATAAGGTGGGTAACTAGCTAGCTTGCTCACAAATAAAATGTCAAAAGCATAATAATTATTCATGAACCCAAACTGATCAATGGTCTATTTCCAATTATTTTTGGAAAAAGTATCCAAACCAAACTCATTGAATTATTAACTAACGTTAGCTAGCTACAGTACATAGCTAGAACCGTTATCAAGCTGTCAAACTACTAGGCTCACCAAATGGCCAACATATGAGCTGTTCGCTAACGTGATGCCGAAGACCCACTCACAGCCTACACAAAAATGCAAAAACTTCAAGGTATAATCTGAAACGTGGTTAATGTTACCGGTACTGACAACATTAGCTAACTACCGGTACGTTAGCAAGCTAGCTACGTGAGCTGATAGGCTACCACTAGCTAGCTAGTCTAACTTACTGTACATTCAGCTAACATTGATTTTATCGTCAGGTCAATTTAGTCCATACCCAGCCCTGCAGCACCTCTAGCTCGCTAGTGGCTAGCTATCTACATCATGAATGCATTTTTTTATTTGCATAACATTTGTGCGAAGAAGACAGTAAACACCAGTGTCTCAGAAGAACTGTCATCCAGCAAGCTAACATTAGCTAGCTAACTCTAAATGTTAGCTAAATTAGCCCAGCTAGCAAGCTAAATATTTTTTCACAAGCCAACCACTAGGTTAACTACTGGCCTACTGGAGACTATCAAAACATTTTCGGATTTTTTTGACTTCGCTCTGTTTCTTAAATATTCATCTCACAGCAGCAATTATCTATATAATATTTAAAAATCGTTTAATGCAGTTTATTTTACCTCAGTTTCTCTCCCTCCAATCTCAGTTTCCCTTCCCCCTTTCCACAGTTAACGTCAAGTGCATTCTGGGAATTGTGGTTTCCTGCCCTGCCTAACTTGCCTGCGCTGGACGGTTCGTTTTCGATTACGTCATGGCTAAAGCAAAAACAGGGATACATTTCCCAGAATGGATCTTGATTGTACTGGACACTGCAAATCGGTGGTATAGTAAACTGTTTATGGTAATATAAAAACGTATATAACCATAATGCACCTATCCTGTAAAGTGGCCTGATATAATGGTGTGTGTGTGTGTGTGTGTGCGTGTGCGCTGAGGCCATGGTTGTGATAGGATGCTGTACAGGTCAGAGGAGGTCAGAATGATGTGACCTTACTCACTGTACTCTATACTTCTGTTGACGTGAAGTAGAAAAATAATATGTTTACGACTCTAATTTCATATCTTCATGGTCCATCCCTCAAACCCCCAAAGACATCTGGCATTTAACACAAACTGACATATTTCACCACTCTGCATTGGTTTCCTATTGGCACAGATCTAGAGTCAGGTTAACCACACCCAATCACAAAACTGTCCAGCACCTGGACCAGGGCACATTTTATTCGTTGGCTGACTGCATATTCACATGCTCTTCCGCTTTTAAATTTTGAGGGGGAAAAAATACCTAAAATGAGAAGTTAAACATTTTGCCAAAACATTACGATTAGCTCTACATGCGGTTAGTTCACCAATGTGTTTACAGTTATCCAATGGTGAAGGGGAAACACTGGTAGGAAAGCAGTTATTCCTGGTGACTGGCTGTCCCTGGCTGTGTGGTCAGCTCGCAGAGCTCGACATGGACATGTACTCTGAGAAATAACAGCTCTCTGACCAGATCTCCCCGGGCACACCACCTATGTAAACCTTTGACATCATTGTGGTAGAACATGGGTGGGCTGGGGTGACGTACAGTTGGTAGTTAGACTGGGACTCTCCATCCCAGCCAGCATCAGGGTTAGCCGGCCTGGCGGCCACAGAGAAACAGACTGGGGCATGGGGACTACATTACAGTCGAGGACATGGTGTATGCATTTTCAAAAGAGGGAATTGAACCATGGTTGTCATCTTAGTCAAGTATTGTATTTAATATTCAGATTGTTTGTTTTGTCTATTTTGTTTGGTTACTTCACTTATCTTCACTTTATGGCTGTGTTTTGAGGCCCCGTGTAGCTAAGTTGGTAGAGCATGGCGTTTGCAACGCCAGGGTTGTGGGTTCGATTCCCACAGGGGGCCAGTAAGAAAATGTATGCACTCACTAACTGTAAGTCGCTCTGGATAAGAGCGTCTGCTAAATGACTAAAATGTAAATGTTATAAATTCCCTTCCCCCTTAACATATGTTTGTGATCGTGTCTCTTATCCACTTCCCATGTATTAAGTGAACTGTATAGACCAAGGCCATGGAGTGGCTTGAACACTTATTCTACTGTAAAGGATTTAATGCAAACGTCAATTATTATGCCTCAGAACACGGTTCCAATACATTTATTTCTGCATAACAGAAACCCACCCTCTTAACTATTCACAATCCTCAGAAAATCTGTGTATGCAACAGCCAACATTGTTGCTATGAGCTTAATTGCCTAAGAAGCGCAGGGTAAAATGTTTACAATTTATAGTTTAAACAGCTGCCAAGAATATACCAATGTTAGGTATGACAGTCACCACAGGAGGTTGGTGGCAACTTAATTTGGGAGGACAGGCAAGTGGTAATGGCTGGAGTGGAATTAGTGGAATGGTATCAAATACATGGTTTCCACGTGTTTGATGCCATTCCATTTACTCAGTTCCAGCAATTATTATGAGCCGTCCTCCCCTCAGCAGTCTCCACTGACAGTCACTGCTCTGTAATTCACATGTTCGATTTAGCTCATTACTTCAATGTTAGCTGTTACTCAAATTCAGAAAATTTATTTTACCAATAAAATGTATATCTTCAGCCAAATGAAATTATTTTGTCTACCTTACTCTCACAGATTTTGATTTAGGCAAGTGCGGCATGCTGTGCTGTGACGTGTGCAATTAAAAAGACTGCATCTGTAATCCTAGAAGACGCTGACTTGTATTAACGAAAAAACCTGTCTCTCTGACAAATATGACACCCCCTTTTCCCCCCTGAAACCCATTTTCCCTTACAGCGTACACCATATCCTAGAAAAGTACAAAACCTTCTGGAACAATTACAACTATAAATCATAGGAAAATGTTACAAGGACAATAACAGAGGGCAGACTTCCCCTTTGGCGTGAGTTGTGCTGTTGACTTCATCCCAGGGAATGTACTGCAGGCCCAGGCCAAGGCTCACAGTGCTGCAGAGTCCTTCACACACATGTGAATGGTCAAACACCTGCTTGCCTTGGCAAACACAACAGCCAAATCCATCTTAGACAGGAAAACATTTTTATGAGCTAAACTTTGTGGTTAAAAAATACCTTTTGAATTCCTCCCCCCAGTTGAAATGGAATATTTACGTAATGATTGTGAGGACTTGAGATGGTTCGCTTAGTTGGCTTGAGTTTTTCTGTGATGTTATTGTCATATTTGGTTGTATTAGTTTTATGTTAGATGTGTTCAGATGTGTAATAATTTGGTATTTTCCAATTGAGGCATATTAAATGATTTTATGACTGACGATATATAAATCTTGATAAAGTTTGATTGGTATGCCAAAAATGTTTGATTTGTAAGTGCTTTGCCACATTTTGTCAAGTGAGACATTTTACAATTCTCAAGATGTATTTAAATAATAGTAATAGAAAAATGATCCTTGTACATTTTAATGATGTTGAAATCATTTATTCACTTGGCAGTCATCCTAACCAAGTGTAATGCAATGATATTGTTTTACAATAAATATAATATTGAAATAAAAGTGCAAATTTCACATTGAGGGTGCAATGACAATGTAATTACCAGTGCTATGGCTGGATAAAAAGTGACTTGGGTGGATACTGTGCCATAGAGACACTATACAGACTTGTGGGAATGTTTGTATGTTTTGAGAAGATGGTGTGTGCTGTGTGAAGGGGGCTCACAGGGTGCATCTAGTCTTAAGCATCCTCTCCTAGGGCTGTGTTTACACAGGCAGACAAATTCTGATCTTTCTTTTCACAAATTGGTCTTTCGACCAATCAGATCAGCTCTAAAAAATAGCTGATGTGAAAAGATCTGATGTGATTGGTCAAAGACCAATTAGAGCGGAAAATATCAAAATTGGGCTGCCTGTGTAAACGCAGCCCTAGTCTCTCCACTTCATCTGGACTGGTGTGTGAACAGATTAGGTGTATATGAGAGAAGGAAAGGACATGAGGAGAGTAAGCCACTTTAGACTATTAATGCATCCAGAGTTGCATCCAAGGTTTCACTCAATTGTACTGAAATTCTGCCCTAATAACTCAAAAGAGTAGTTAGAATTTGGCCCATTTGTCCTGATTCTCTTGGAGTGCCTTTGGTGGAGGAAGTGGCAACGATGACTGGGCGGAGCTGTCCATTTGGTGGCCTGTCATTGGTGTACTCACTAATCGAAAGGTCAAAGGGCATGGTATCAGCAGGCTGGTGCCATCTCCATGGAAACACTGTTGTCAGCCATCCTCTGCCTCAGGTGGTTGGCAAAGTCCACCTGCGTCTGAGAGAGCACTTTGTTTATGATGGTCTTTGGGATCCAACCCTGTGAGGGAGCGAGACAGGGTAAAACAGGAAGAGAGAACATGATGAGAAACAACAATTAAGTGTCCTCAATACAACCATCATCAACCATAACCTTAGGCAGTGATCAATAGCATCTGATTACAACAACACAGGTGTGTCACATTGAACAGAAATCCCTCACTATGATTAAAGGCCAAACAATATCTATGGGACCATTAGTTCCAGAAAGGATCTTCTGATCTTCTTGACACTAACCAGTTAGGCTTCAAGACGGGTCACTCAACCGAGACTGCACTTCTCTATGTCATGGAGGCTCTCTGCACTGCCAAAGCTGTCTCTCTCTCCTCTGTTCTCATCCTCCTAGATCTATCCGTTGCATTCAACACAGTGAACCATCAGATCCTCCTCTCCACCCTCTCAGGGCTGGGCATCTCAGACTCTGCACATTTTCGTATTGCATCCTACCTGGCAGGCCGCTCCTACCAGGTGACGTGGAGAGGATCTGTGTCTGGGTCACTACTGGTGTCCCCCAGGGCTCGGTTCTAGGCCCTCTCCTCTTCTCTCTATACACCAAGTCACTAGGCTACGTCATATCCTCACATGGTCTCTCCTATCATTGCTATGCGGATGACACTCAACTACCTTTCTCCTTCCCCCCTTCTGAAACCCAGGTGGCAACACGCATCTCTGCGTGCCTGGCAGATATCTCAACTTGGATGTTAGCCCACCACCTCAAGCTCTACCTCGACAAGACGGAACTGCTCTTCCTCCCGGGGAAGTCCTGCCCGCTCAACAACCCCTCTATCACGGTTGACCACTCCACAGTGTCGCCCTCCCAGAGTGCAAAGAACCTTGGCGTGACCCTGGACAATACCCTGTTGTTCTCTGCAAACATCAAAGCAGTGACCCGCTCCTGCAGGTACACGCTCTACAACAACCGTAGAGTACAACCCTATCTCACACAGGAAGTGGCGCAGGTCCTAATCCAGGCACTTGTCTTCTCCCTTCTGGACTACTGCAACTCGCTGTTGGCTGGGCTCCCCACTTGTGCCATCAAACCCCTGCAACTTATCCAGAACACTGCAGCCCACCTGGTGTTCAACCTTCCCAAGTTCTCTCATGTCACTCCGCTCCTCCGCACACTCTACTAGCTTCCAGTCGAAGCTCGCTTCCACTACAAGACCATGGTGCTTACCTACGGAACAGCAAAAGGAATTGCCCCTCCCTACCTTCAGGCTATGCTCAAACCCTACACCCCAACCAGAGGACTATGTTCTGCCACCTCAGGTCTCTTGGCCCTCCCACCCCTACGGGAGGGCAGCTCCCGCTCAGCCCAGTCCAAGCTCTTCTCTGTCCTGGCACCCCAATGGTGGAACCAGCTTCCCCCCTGAAGCTAGGACAGCAGAGTCCCTGCCCATCTTCTGAAAACATCTGAAACCCTACCTCTTCAAACAGTATCTTAAATAATCCTCCTCCTCACCTCGACCCCCACCCCCAGCACTCACACTCTACTGATAGCTACTTTATTGAGGAAAAACAGACTTTCTATGCCTGTGATATGTGGTTGTCCCACCTAGCTATCTTAAGATTAATGCACTAACTGTAAGTCGCTCTGGATAAGAGCATCTGCTAAATTACTAAAATGTAAAATGATGAAACCAGATAGCAACAGTTGTATCTGTCTGACCCTAGTGATAAACGGCAGGTTAATGGCCTCCTTACCTTTAAATCTATGCTTAACAACCAGGTGAACTTGGTCTTGTTGGGGTCATCAGCACTGGGCCGCATTACTATACATGTTGGTCCGTTCTCCGCCCTGAAAAAGTCAACAATACGGTGTAGAACATTCATGTTAGCATATGTTGGAGTCCAACACAATATTCAAAATGTTATTTTTTATATTATGTATTGTTAGTGATTTATAATCTCCATCCATCCATCTTTCCATCCATCCCTTGAGTATAAACTAGCCCACCTAACAACTCCCCTCTGTTCGGGCATGGTGGGGTGCTGAGTGGACATGCCAGCCAGGAAGCACGTGGACCCCCGGCGCTTGGCACAGCGAACACTAACGAAGTCCCGCGGCCCCACCACGTTACCAGGCGTGGGTCCCGACACCTCGTGGGTCACCATGGTCTCCTGACCTATCTTCTGAAGGATCTAAAGGGGGGAGGAGAGGAAGAAAAAGGGAGGAAGAGAGAGAGGGAAAGATAGAGAGAAAAGGAGAGGAGAGAGTCAGAAACCTCTGTATATTCTTCAATGTGAGAATGCACATGGGAACAAAACAACCCACAGTATGCGACTTCTAGTCAATCTATGCAATCTGTGTACACATGAGCCAATTCCTCTTAATGTTTTGTATTGTTGTTGCGTTCTACATGCCATTTAGCAGACCCTTTTATCCAAAGCGACTTACAGTGTAGTGCGTGCCTTGTTTATAAAGTTGATTGGAAAACGTTGATTGTCCCACCTTGACCTCTTTGACGTTAGGGTTCCAGTCTCCCATTTGCTCCATGTTGCCCACCAGCTCCACAAAGAGGTTATCAGAGCGCTGGTCCAACAGCACCTCCAGCTTAAACACCTTCCCCACGTCAGGTAACACCTTACTCAGCACCTTGTCGCCATTCGCCTGAGATCATAGGTCCAGATAATTAAAACTCATAGTTCTGCAAGAATAAACAACAACCTTAAACAACAACCGTTATATTGCAATTCAAACAGATAAAGGTCTGTAATTACTACATTGAATAGGTGATGAAGGGAATTTCAGTGTGCCAGCCCTCCTGTCTTTGGTACTCCATCTCTATACTCACAGCAGTGATCTCAGTGGTCCATCCATCCTGATCGCCGAGGATGATGATAGACTTCTGCAGCGCCTCCTCTCCCTGCTTCACATATGACACCTCCGCCTCATTGTAGCCCTGCTCCTCCTCGATCCGCGAGCCTGGAGCACAGCACAGATAGAAAACAACATTATCAGTAGAGTTAGAAGAAAGGACTTTCCTTTTGGGTATTTGTGAATGAAAGAAAGAAAAACAAGTAAGAAGTGTGTTCTGAGTGGAGGGTGTGGACTTACTGAGCAGTGAGCTCCTGCGGCGGACATGGCTGATCCAGCTGCTAGGGTTGGGGCCTGCTAGCATGTTCAACTCATGGTGAATGGCCACCATCGCATTCTTCCTCAAACCTGGGACAAGAAGAATGGGAGAAAAAGTAGATAAGAACAGTTTGTAAAAAGCAGTAGAGGAATCTACAATACATTAAATTATTAGTACAAAAGTCAGTACAATTAAAACATCTTTAGTACCATCAAAACAATTTGTATATTATTGTTATACCAAACCATTACATACAGTTTTTGTGAGCTAACGATTTACAACTGAAAATTAGAGTTTCAGAACACACCATGGCCACAGGGCCACAGGGCTATGAAACACTAGAGAATCATTCACAAACTCTCTCTCACTAACCTGTCATGTTCCTCATATGTCTGTAGGAGATGCCAGCGCACAGTTTGAAAGTTGCAGGCAACATTTTGTATCAATTTAGTGTTAAGTTTAGCTTCTGAGTGAAATAGATAATGCTAAAATATAAAAGATATAAATCAGAGGACCCGTTTAGATTGTCGATTTTGTTCTTGGTATTTCAAAGAGAGAAATAGAGAATCATAGAACTGTAAAACAGAGAGCACCAGTATCGTTGTGTTGTCAAGAGGATTTGAGATTCTGTCTGTGGGAGTTGCCGTATGTGTGTCTATATAAGCGTGGAGCAAGGCCGTGATGCTGTCACCTCGGAGATAAACACACACATCATCCCGCCGATCTAACGACCCTGTGGCCAAGGATACCTCTTGGACAAGCTGAGAATGTCTCCAAGCTCTTATAAACATTGTGTCAGATAACGTCCAGTGCTCAGGCCCACTATACCACACACACATACACACACACACACACACACACACACACACACACACACACACACACACACACACACACACACACACACACACACACAGTCCCTCAGACATACAGACAGACTGACAGACAGACAGACACATGCCAGTCAGTGTAGTAGGACCAGTAACAGTCACATCCGCTCACACTCCCAAGGTCCCTCACAGCCAAATCACAGGAATGTATGAAATAAACAGTGTTTACTGGATGTTTGCTGGACAGAATATTCTGCCAACAGTATGTGTTGAAACCACCTTTATGGTGAGTATGATCCCATCTTTAACAATATGATATGATCTAAGCAGCGCATGGTGCTCTGACACTAAGAGATATTGGACATCTTCAACTTGGTGGAAGTTGACTCTATCCTCATACAGTGGTCATTCCACCAATTATGTGCCTTTTGAGTAGTTTAACCTGGTGGTAAAAAACGTTGTATATATACATTCATCAAAACTAAATATTATACTGTCAAAATTGCGAATACATTCATCAAAAGAACACGACTGTCTGCAAAAATACTAACACAAACATACATATCTTTTGAGTCTAAGCTGACAAAAAGACCGTCTGTCTTTAAAAAAATCCCAGTAGATCAATACATATTCTTTGCAGTCACCAAATCACTATCAAAAGGTGCAGAATTTTGGGCTATTACTCTCCTTTTATGCATATTTTCCTTAAACAATGTCATACACATCAAATCAAATATTATTCCTGTTCAAAAAGAAAATGGAAAATAAGCACATTGTGTGCAGAATTCATTCACTGGTATCATCACAATCCAATTCTATGTATTCAGTCCATAGGCTGGTCTGCTTACAGGTTTGTAGTTTTCCATCAGCAAGTAGAAACACAATCCCGAATAGAAATAAGCAAAGGTGAATACAGTGGAGGAACACAACTGATATGAATTTATAGGCCTCAATCCACACCAAAGCAAAGCTATGTAATGGAAGGTCACAATGTTGGAGATGATGACTTAGAAGTAAACTAAGGTTACATAATTAATTTCATTTCATTCTCTGCATCTCTGCATGTCCACAATGGTGTAAGATCATAAAAATGAGACAGTCTCGTTACCTAGATCTGTACCTATATTGTACCTTACTACTGATAAAAACAATTACAATGTGCAGTAGTATTTACTGATTGCCAGAAACAGTGAACACGTTTGCAACCTTTTCTCTTCACGTGTTGATATTCTGTGAACAAAACACTTTACAATAAATGTTGTATTCATTGATGACGATTGTATTTAAAGTTTTGCAAAAGTGGGTCTAAGATATGCAATCCAGGTACAAAGGCAAGAACATTCTGCTGATGTATTTAAGCATTTGATCATTGTTGTTCTGCTATAGGAACATTTATCCACAGTTCCAAAAAATGCTTTACGCAATTGAGAAAAACTGTAATAAAATCCATGTTTTCCCATTTCAAGAGGTTAAATAAATAGAAAGACTATAGTAAGTACCTATTAGCTACCAAATAAAGTAACAGGGTTGACCGTAATAGGGTTGACTACTTCATCTTAAATCATCCATAAATCTTGGAATGGAAGCTTGTTGTGTGCAACAGGGAGGGGCAATTGAATGTTAAATAATTCCTAGCCTGTCTAGCTATGAGTAGCAGGTTTGACTTGCTTGACCTGCTCAGTTTTCCACCACAAACACAAAAAGATTGCCAAAAAGAGTAGAACCAGTTCACCTGCTTTTACAATATGATTTGACGATTAGATGTTCATTGAATAAAAAAAAAAGGAAGTTTCACCATATTAAAACGAGAGTTCAATTCACGTAACAGGGTTGACCTGTTACGTGAGGGAAAGTTTTTTTATTTCTTAAAATTAATCACATGACCATCATATAATTGGCATATACATTACTCTTACTGAATTTCCACGTGGGCGAGGATATTGGAAATGTAATCAAATCCTATTGGATGATAACTTGTTTCTAACTAGGACAGAGGAATTCATAACTGAATTTTTCCGACATAACATAGGTACAGCAAATCCCCTTATTGTATGGGACACTTTTAAATGTGCCTTTAGAGGCCATGCAATTCAGTACTCATCTCGAAAACAAAAGCAATTTAGGTCAAAAGAGTCCATACCAACAAAGGAAATAGAAGGTCTAACAGAACAGATAGATAGCAATAAAAACTGTAACATAGAGGCTCAGAATAAGTTAGAGGGGAAACAAAAAGAAATGGAGGAACTTATTCAAGAAAGATCAAGTGTAATATATTATAAAAATAAAGCAAACTCTACCCACATGTACATATTACTTCAACTACCTCAACTAGCCGGTGCCCCCGCACATTGACTCTGCACCGGTACCCCCCTGTATATATAGCCTCCCTACTGTTATTTTATTTTACTTCTGCTCTTTTTTTCTCAACACTTTTTTTGTTGTTGTTTTATTTTACTTTTTTATTAAAAATAAATGCACTGTTGGTTAAGGGCTGTAAGTAAGCATTTCACTGTAATGTCTACACCTGTTGTATTCGGCGCATGTGGCCAATAAAATTTTATTTTATTTTATTTTATTTGAATATGGGGAAAAATGCACCAAATTATTTGTTAATCTTCAACATAGAAATGCTACCAAAAATAATTTACTGAAATTGGTTACAAATGATGGAGTCACCCATGATTCACCAAATTATATTTAGAAGGAGGAAGCAAAGTACTTTAAGCATATGTTTTAGTTTCAGTCGCCTCGATCTCCTCTAACTGGATTTTTTTCTTCTATTGATAATGTCAAAAACAGCCATACAGAAAGAAGGTGAAATTACAGAGGAGGAACTTCTGGATGCAGTTAAAGACTTTAAGTCTGGGAAAACTCCAGGGTTGGATGGCATACTAGTTGAGATATACCAAACCTTTTTTGATATACTCAGAGGACCGTTATTAGCATGTTTAAACCACTCCTATGTAAATGGTAGATTATCAGACGCTCAATAAGAAGGTCTGATTTCATTATTACTGAAACAGGATACAAGTGGTAAATATAAAGATACAGTCCATTAAAAAAATTGGAGGCCCCTTACACTTCAGTGTTGTGATGCAAAGATTCTAGCAAAATGGATAGCGCATAGAATTAAAAAGGTATTGTCAGACATTATTCATTCTAATCAGACAGGTTTTTTACATGGACGGTACATTGGAGATAATATAAGGCAAGTACTGGAAACAATAGAACACTATGAAAAATCTGGGAAACCAGGCCTCCTATTCATAGCTGACTTTGAAAAGGCTTTTGATAAAGTACGACTGGAGTTTATATATAAATGCCTGGAGCATTTCAATTTTGGAGAATTTCTTATAAAATGGGCTAAAATCATGTATAGTAACCCTAGGTTTAAAATAATAAATAATGGCTATTTCTCAGAAAGTTTTAAACTGTCAAGAGGAGTAAAACAAGGTTGTCCACTATCGGCATATCTAATTATTATGGCCATCGAAATGTTAGCTGTTAAAATCAGATCCAACAATAATATCAAGGGATTAGAAATCCAGGGCTTAAAAACAAAGGTGTCATTGAACGCTGATCCCTTGAATCCCTCCACAGCCTCATAGAGCATCTAGATACATTTTCTAACCTCTCTGGATTACAACCATATTATGATAAATGTACTATATTACGTATTGGATCACTAAAAAATACAATTTTTACATTAGAGTGTAGTTTACCAATGAAATGGTCTGATGGTGATGTGGATATACTCAGTATACATATCCCAAATGAAATAAATGATCTCACTTCAATACCTTTTAATAGAAAGTTAGCAAAAATAGATAAGATCTTGCTACCATGGAAAGGTAAATACCTGTCTATGTCACGGTCGTCGAGGAGTGAAGGAGACCAAGGCGCAGCGAGTGAAAAGAACATGTTGACTTTATTTACTTAAAGCAACCAAAAACAACAAATCAAAGCGACGAATGTGAAGTCCAATAGTGACAAAGACTAAACAGGAACAATAACCCACAATGCCCACAGGAAAACATGCAGTATAAATATGGCTCCCAATCAGAGATAACGAGCCGACAGCTGACACTCGTTACCTCCGATTGGGAGTCAATGACCAAACCTAGAAATAAACGTGACAGAAATGCAAACATAGAAAATCACCCAAAACCCAACAAAACACAATACACCCTGGCTCAAATACAAAAGTCCCGGAGCCAGAGTGTTACAGTACCCCCCCCTAAAGGTGCGCACTCCGGGCGCACCAGCATACAGTCTCGGGGAGGGTCTGGGTGGGCGTCTGTCCACGGTGGCGGTTCTGGCCCTGGTCGTGGTCCCCACCCCACCTTAGTCACCACCCGCTTCCCTAGCCTCCTCCACATGACCACCCTCCAACTTACTCCACCTGGATTTAGGGGCAGCACCGGGCTAAGGGACAGCACCTGGCTAAGGGGCGGATCCTGGCTGGCTGGCTCTGGCGGATCCTGGCTGGACGGCTCATGGCAGGCTGAAGGATCTGGCTGCTCATGGCTGGCCGACGGATCTGGCTGCTCATGGCTGGCCGACGGATCTGGCTGCTCATGGCTGGCCGACGGATCTGGCTGCTCATGGCTGGCGGAAGGCTCTGGCTGATCCTGTCTGGCGGAAGGCTCTGGCTGATCCTGTCTGGCAGAAGGCTCTGGCTGATCCTGTCTGGCAGAAGGCTCTGGCTGATCCTGTCTGGCAGAAGGCTCTGGCTGATCCTGTCTGGCGGAAGGCTCTGGCTGATCCTGTCTGGCGGAAGGCTCTAGCGGCTCT